TACACAGACCAACTAACTGCTGTTATTTCTTGTTGATTTATTTCCAAGAGATTGTTCAAGTATGCTGTAACTGTTTAATCCATGTTCTCAATCTCAGGGCAAGGTATTTTAATTTGGGAGAACCTCATGCAACTACACTTGATGGCCTATCCAGAGTTTTCCCCATATCTTCTAGTTCACTAATTTTGATGGAGGCTACTATATACTATTCACTCTTTAATCAGATTTTCAGATCAGCAATTGACAGATCCTTTATATTATCATCCCATAACAGTATAGAACAGTGATGGTGAACCTTTTGGGCACTGAGTGCCCAAAGCCAAGGCACGTCCCCCCGCCACGCATGTGCAACCCGGCACATGTACCCTGACTCCTATGCATGCACAGCAGAGATCTGAAGACCAGTTGGCCAGCAGGAGATGCGCGCGCATCGGCAATGGAGCTGAGCTAGGGCCATAGGTTCATCACCACTAGTATGGAATTTATTCTGTAAGGATTGTGAACAATGAAAACTGTAAAAATTTAAAATATCGCCTCCCTTGCTTTCACATCAGACAAGTAATTTTTATACCTCTAATAAAATATTCTGTTCCTTTATAGTTTAGCAGAATGGGCGCTGGTAAATTTACCTGTGAACGCCCTTTCTATCTGTGCTGCGAGAGAGCCCAGGATGGGTAGACTCCTTCTTATGATGTCATTAAGCTGAGTCTGTACTTGTATATCTAAAAGCCAGCCCCCGGACGATCTTATCCAGCTGCAGGCTTCTTTGTGGCCGCTTTGGAGGCAGTACAGGGTAATTTGTAGGTCCCGATGGGCCAAGTGGATGGAGGAGGACAGTATCAACATGTCGTCCAAGTAGCATTGGATCCTCACTGGAACAGAACGTAGTGAAGCCACCAATGCTGCTAGAATCTTTGTAAAGACCCTTGGAGCCAATAAGAAAGTGAAGTGAAGGGCTCAGTACTGGTAGTGGGCATTCTGGTAACAGAAACGGAGAAAATGGCAATGATGAGGCCAGATGGGGATGTGGAGGTAAGCCTCCATGAGCAATGGAAGAGAGGAGGTTGCCCTCCCGAACGCTCTCTAAAATAGAATGCAGTGTCTGCATTTTAAATGGTCTGTATTTGACAAATTGATTGATAAAGTTTAGGTCAAGGATGGCTCGCCACCCCTTCCCCACAAGGCTTTAGGAACAATGAAAAGACGAGAGTAAAATCCTTGTCCCTGTTGTAAGGTGGGGACTGGTTGAATAGCCCTTATGTCGAGTAGGTGTTGAATGGCAGAATTTATAAGGGCTCTCTTTGAAGTGTCCAATGAAACAGGACAAATCAAAAAATTTTCTGGGGGTGATGACAGAAATTCCAATTATAGCCCTGACCTAATAGTGTTGAGCACCCAAGCATCCGTCGTTGACTCCTCCCATTTGGAGGCAAAGAAGTCTAAATGACCTCCAATGGGTGGGGAGAACGAGGAATTACTTAGAGTGACGGAAGTAACGACCCCCTCCCCCCCTGAAAGGGCCATTTACCAGCAGAAGGTTGTTGTCTGCCAGGTGCTTCTGGACGTTGGTCCTGGCGCTGGGTATACGCCCTCTGTGGCCGAGTAAAGCGGGAGGTGGACTCTGCCCGAAAAGCAGGTGGGCGATGAGGAGCTGGGTGATAGTCAGCTTTTTTCCCCAAGGAGGAAATAATTTTTTGTTTATCTCTGGTCTCAATGAGGTACAGCTCTAGAGCCTCACTGAAAAGCTTGTCTCCTGTGCAGGGGGCAGAAACCAGCTTCCATTTGTGGTGTGACTCCACCTGCCAATTTCGAAGCCACAGATGCCTTCTTGCCGCCACTGAAGAAGCCATGGCCTTGATGCAAATTTGGTGGAACTGAAGGTGACATCCGCAGTGAATTCCATTGCTGCTATAATTTTGTTAAGGGCCTGATGAGACCTGAGGTCAGAGGCAGGCCACCGGTCCTGCAGTTGATAAAGCCATCGTAGAGATGCCCTTGTGAAAAACGATGCAGCGGTAGAGGCCCAAACAGCCCATGCAGCTACTTGGTGGTTGCGCTTGAGGGTCTGTTCGGAACACTTATCTTCTGCTTTAAGTACATCTCCTGGCTCAGTGGGAGTTCCAGAAGAGGAGAATGATGCCATAACTGGAGTGTCTATCGAGGGCACTGCAAGGGTGTTGGCTAGGGATGTGCTGACATTGTAGAACCGCTTGTCCAAAGATGATGGGCGAGTACCTGCTGAAGGGGAAGCGCACTGCTCCTTGACCATGTCGAGAAACAAAAGAAGGCAAAACCTCTGTGTGTACTAGTCTGACTCACAGACGAACACAATACAGAAGCCTGATGATGGCAGATGAGATTCTGCCGAAACGTTGCTACAACTTTAAAAGCACAACTATAATGATGTGGGAAAATACCCGAACAAAGCTGAATACCATACATGTAAGTACCTGCAAAAACTTAAGAAAACAAATATATACCATGTTTCTCCAACAAAACGGCCTCCACCAATAGGAAGGCCCAGCATGATTTCTATGCATGAGGTGAAACTAAGCCCTGCCCCCAAAATTTAGGCCTATTTAAACCATGCATTTCCGCACTATTTCTCACATCGTTCGTTAGAACTACACAAGGTAAAGAGAAATAGGAAGGGAACGGGGGGGGAGAAAACTTGCCTTTAGGAGTACCATGCAGGTAGCCTAGGCTAGAATACCCTGATCTACTACCGATGGAACATCATTCGATAGAGGCTCCCCAAAGGCAGAGTGACCAGCTACTTCTATCGGCCGGTAGAAGTGGCTGCTGACTCTGCCTTTGGGGAGCTTCCATCAGCCAATAGAAATGGCCTCGTGAGGGGAGCTTGCATTAGTTGTCTTTGAATCTACCAGCGGGGCAGGAGAGAAAGCACACGTATATCTGTGTCTGGATGAAAATTGTGAGATTGCGACAGAGGGAATGGGAGAAAACGCCTTAGCCCAAATGTATTCTTGTTTTGCTTTCTTACCCATTCCCTGATCAATCTCTCCAGGGCAGCTTTTAGCCTAAAATCGCCCAGGTCTCCCTCAGCTAAAAGAGTGGGGAGGTCTCCAAAGACTATCCTGAACCTCCGCCATTTGAGAGGACCAAACTCTTCTCAAAGTTAGACCCACAAGTTTTTCAAAAGTTCTTCTGAACACCTCCGACGTCCAATGAAATCAAGAAATGTCTCGTGATTGAACTCAATCAAAAAAAACAAAAAACAACCTGCACCTTGTCGCCAAGTCCCTGGTTTTACGGCTCCTCTCTCGTCCCGAATTATGCCAAAATAAGGGATTCCGAGGCTGGCGTTGATGACGGGCGCTCTTTCAGGCGCTCAGAGAGAGAGAGAGAAAAGGAGGTGTCGCTGAAGTTATCAGACTCCCCCCAACTTTTAGCAACGCCATCCATGAGCTGTGGCAGGATTGCCTCAGATCATGTGCAGAGTGCCTTCACCGTTCAGCTCCCCCCACCACGACTCAAGGTTCATACTAAAATTAGGCCTTTCCAATCAGCCCCTGCAAATATTCGGCCCTCACCAGAGCAATAGAAAGGACGGTTTAGCTTCTCTCCTGCCCTTCCTCGCTCTAGCTCCCTCCCGCCCTCCTGTGCTGCGGCGGTGACCCTTTCACACTCACCCTGCTTCCCCGCCACATTCCTATGAGAACCGCTCCCACATCTCCTTTCAGGAGCCCACCCAATCTTCCTTCTAAGGGTAGCCAAGCTCTGCTGCCTCCTCTTCCCTCCCTGGCAGCCCCCCCCAAACCAGAAGCGGCAGCAGGTAAAGGGAGGTCGGCTGCCCTGGGACTTTGGCAGGGTGCCCGGAAAAGGTCTGGCCTTGGGAGGGCAGGGCGGCAGTGGGAACCCCGCAGATGCTGAGACCTTCCCTCGCCAGAAGGGCTTGGCTGACCCGGTGCAGGGACGAGGGCTAGTAGGGGTGGTGTTTGTGTGTGTGTGTGTGTGTGTGTGTGTGAGAGAGAGAGAGAGAGGGAGAGAGAGAGAGAGAGAGAGAGAGAGAAAGAGAGAGAGAGAGAGAGAGAGAGAGAGAGAAACTCAGTTTGCTTCCCTTCTGCTAAGAAAAGTTTGCAGCCGCTCTCCCATGCGCACTCCCCTCGCCATGAAGCCTTTTCTATTGGCCGATGGAAGCGGCTGGTGACTCTGCCTTTTGGGAGCTTCCATTGGCCGATAGAAATGGCCTCGAGGAGAGTGTGCGTGGGGCGCTCCTCTCAGGAGTGCCCTGTGGGCAGCCACGCCTCACCCCAAAGCAGCTGGTGACTCTGCCTTTGGGGAGCTTCCATCGGCTGATAGAAACAGCTTGGTGGCGAGGTGAGTGTGCGTGGGTGCTTGCCCCGAGGCCACTTCTACTGGCCGATAGAAGCGGCTGGTGACTCTACCTTTGGGGAACTTCCAGTGGCAGCCTCATGGAGAGGTGAGTGCGCATGGGGCACTCTAGGTGGAGGTGTGCGTGGGGGAAGAAATTAAGTCACCCCCAAAAAGATGTCCCAGTCATTTTTTCGGGGCTCAAAAAAAAATAAGACCCGGCCTTATTTTATGAGAAACACGGTGTGTGTGTATGTGTAAGTATGTATGTATGTGTGTGCGTGTGTGTGTGTGTGTGTGTGTGTGTATGGCATTCAGCTTTGTTCAGGTATTTTCCCACGTCACTGTAGTTGTGCTTTTAAAGTTGTAGCAACATTTCGGCAGAATCTCATCTGCCATCATCAGGCTTCTGTATATATATATTTCAGTTTGATATCTTCTAGCATTGTGCTCAAAATTGCTTTGTGACTTTTTCCTAAGACAGTCAAGATCTTATGTAATTTCACAAACTGTAGACCAAGAGAAATTTATTTTCCCAAGATCGTTCATCTTGTATTTTGTATCCAACAAAGCGGACAAGGCTAAATAAAAAAGGTTTCCCAGTCTCATCAAAGTTGCAAGCTATATATATATATGAATGACTATATATTATTTAAGATACTAACCTTATTTCCATCACCAAGGAGGAATTGATTTTCCATCTTTCTACAGAATACTGGAACACTGAAGAGCCACTCTTCCGGCTTATTTTATCAGAGCTATTGACCATTGATTTACTTAAACTTTGCTCACCATCTCTGAAACACAATGTAAAAAGAACGAAAGGTAGTTAGCTCAGAGATTAGCCAAAAGCCTCCTTTGGACATCACATCACAAATACCAGCTACCAGGTGTTTTTTTTTTTTTTTAAGATTCTTTTCTTCTTCCATCTTTATTACTTTATGAGATGGCGAATAACTAATAGGAGTAGTCCTTGACTTACAACTAAAGTGACTGTTCAAACTTACAATAGCAACCCCATACTCCATACTTGATCAAAATTCAACACTTGGCATGTATTTTTGACAGCCTGGGGTCATGTGATCATCATCTGTAACTTTCCCAGTTTCTGACAAGCAAAGTCAATGGCAGTAGCCAGATTCGCTTAACAACTGCATGATTCACTTAACAACTTCAGTCATTCATTCAACAATTGTTGCAAAAAAGTATGAAAAATGAAACACAACTCAGTTAACAACTGCCTTGTTTAACAGCAAATTTTTAGACTCAGTTGTAGTCATTAAATTAAGGACTACCTGTACTTCTTTCTCCTCCAATTTTCAGCACAACAATAAACATACTTTATTTTTATTTTACACACTGGCTTCCACTGAATAATTAGAAGCTGAAACTTCCTTAAAATTGGAGGGTTTTTTTCTATTAACTGGCTGAATCTTTGGCCATTATTTACTTGCTAGGTTGAGCTGATAATGCATTATTAATTATAAATCTGAAATGACAGCAGAATTAAAAATAGGAACTCTCTAACTATTTTGATTTGAGGTACAATTACTTCCTATAATTGCAACCTACATTAACAGAATCTTGCAAGTCTGAAAGTACAACCTTACGACCACTGCCTTTAACTGCCTGACCAGGGTGGGTCCTTCCTAAGTTTCTTTCTCTGACTGTTAAGCCACTTCTGTTCTTGTCTGATTGTTTCCTAGCAGCATGTCTTCCTCTCATTCCCCAAGGTCACCCACACATTACATTACATCCTCATAACAGATTACTACAATCATGTTGGGAACACTAAAGTGCTTCCAGGTTGGAAAAAAATTGAACAGTGACATCACTGTTGCCCAGGGGATATCAGTTGGGGGCTCCTTTCTTGTGCCCATTAAATTGTTCACCAAAATGGTACCCTTTTATATTCTTGCGGCCATCCAATTTTGAACTGTTAGCTAGGCAGGAGCTGGAGCATGTGACAGGAACTCACCCCATCCCACAGCAACAACTGGTTTTGAATCAAAGCCTGATCAAGAGCCCATTATCCTAACCTTATGAACCACCACACTCCCCATCATAACAGCTATCAGAATATTAGAGTAATTCCTCAAGTACACCCATATGAAAATAGCTCTCATCCTTTAAATTCCAAATCAAGTGATGTTTAGAAGAAAGCTAGCCTTAATATATAATTATCATGATCTATACCCATTAAAAGATTTCCCCGCATGTATTTCTTATTAATTTATTTTAAATCACCAAAAATCAATGGGCCTGTTTGTTTTAACTACTTTCAGTCTGTCAGTGAAATTAAAACCAGAATGTTTATCAATGTCATTAATTTGTTGTTCAGGAACTTTTGGGGAAAAGTCCATTTAGACCTACAACTTTTGCAATGAAGATACATACATAGAATTGATTTTAATATTCCCCTTCTCTATTTCTAAACAAGTGATTCAGAAGCCAGATCAGAACCATAACATGAAATGGCTTCTCACAATGGGTCATATTCCTTATACTTTGTTTGATTGACTGCACATACTTGTAAACAACTATGGGGGACCATTTTAGTGAAAATATCTATTAATAAATCAACCCTATTATTTACTCACTAAAGTGTGGCATCCATCTTAGAGAGTGAGTTCCAGTAACCAAATATAGGAGGCAAAAGCTATGTCCACTAAGCAATATAATATAACCCATAAAACAACCTATTGCCCTCAGGTATATTGGGAATGTAATTCTCTTATCAAACTGTCTCGTTATGAACATCAGAGAAACATCTAATTCTCCATTGTTTTGATTTATTACTGGAAGAAAGAGACAGGATGCTTATGTTGCTTTCTAATTAAAACAACTTCTCAAGTTATAAGTATTTACTCTTAAGTAAACTATTAACTTTGTTAACTAGACAACACTGTGAGCCATTGGGTCACCTTCGTGAGAAAGGCAGTACAGTCTGACATGACCACAACGAACACTGAATTGTAGACTGACTATATTTTGTTTATCTCAATGCTGAACAGTCCTGTAATCAACTAATAAGAAGTGTATATATCATAAACAGAAAAATAAATGTAGTGGCCAAATGAACTTCAATAATAAGTCAATGTTTATTTATCGAAACAGATAAATAGACCATGGGCAGGCAAAAAAGCAATGGGAACGGAAGCAACTTCTGACTTCCTGCCAGCTTCCCCATTGACTTTGCTTTTGGTGAGGACCATCAGAAATCATTATCACAATGTGAGGATGCTTTTTGAATAAAGCTGATATGAACATCGTGGAAATTTCAATTATATGAGAGTAATGGGTCTTGGATTTGTATGCATTTTTAAGTTAGCAGATTTGATTTGAACAGTGTTGCAATATTAGCAGCATTTGGGATAACTTGAAAGTACAAACAGTTAAACACAATGAGGTTTTTAGTAGTATAAATATAGATTAAGTCATTAAGTAAGTGTTACTGTATGCAGAAGGGTTTTCATCTAAGTGAATTTGGGCAATTAAGTTTTTTTTTAAATCCCCAAAGAAGGAAATCTGTAAAGCGTTCATACTGTTGCCAAGAGGTCAATAATAATGTCATATTATAAACTAAGAGAGAGATTTGACTTTGGGTTTTTTTCCATCCCAAGAGCACAGTTATTTTACAATTCTGTTTTTATGCTGGTTCTATATTAACTGTTGTGAACAACTCTATAACTGGGATTCTTGTGAGATAAATACATTAACTCTGATGCCTGAGAAAATCTGGCTAGTTTATGGAACATAAGAATTTGTTTTATACAAGGTCAGACCATTTGTCTACATTGTCTTGTACCATCTGAGTAGCAGTCAACAACAACCTCAGTTAAACCTCACATCCCACCACATAAGATTCTTTAAATGGAAGGAGGGCCAGCAACTGAATCTGAAGTCTTTGACATTAAAGCTATCATAAAATAAATGTTTTGCCCATACACATCACACAATAAAGTATGTTTATTTCTACGTAGAGCATATCAACAAAGCAATGTATCAAAAAGACAAATTTGATGCAAGGGGTACCAAACAAATGCAACAAAATACAATCAAGCCATTTTACAATTAGTTTTTAAAAAGAGCAGCTTTAAAAGTGATTGCATGGGACAGAACTTTTGGAATGTCCAGAGTAAATAAGAAGCACTGTACCACCAATTAAGCCAAAGGCCCAGTTAAACAGATACACTTTCAGATCAGTCTCAATCGGAATTAAAGAGGAAGGGAATTTCACAGTTGAGAAACTTCTGACTGAGAATCAGCTGTTTTGGATTGCCTTTCAATGAACCTCTTGCAAGCACAGCATCATCAAGAGGGCAGTTCTGCTATATCTTTAGGCCCAGATTTAAAAAAGAAAGCAGTTGTTAGATAGGAAAGCTGAACCCATACAGATCTTCATATGGCATAATATACTGTATAGTTTAATTTTAGCTTGACAGCAAACTCGCAGCATAACACTGCTATAAAGCACACTTCATCAAAAAAAAAAAAAAAAAAACCCTGCAGGAGCCTAAAAGAATGCGGATTTCTGTTTGCTGCATATAGCAATCTCATGCCACACACAATGATATTCAGAAAGACTAAGCTGTGCTTCATCACATCTTGAAGCTTGTCTAGGAGAACTTATAGGATCAATGATCGTATATCTGCTGGATATGCATCCCATCCAATATGTATGATTGATTTACAGCTCAAAATTGAGCTTAAAGAAAACTAAGCAAATTTTATTTCAAACTTCTTACATAGTAATTTTAAAACGGGGCAAGAAATACAAATACATATGCATTCACATACTCTTGTGTGCATGTATATAACACTTTTTTCAAATTTAAAGAATAATAAAATCTCTGGTGAACAATATTCACATAAATCTCAAGGGACATATTCATGCCAAAATTAATTACACAGCAAATCTCGGCCTTCTATGTCAATGTCATATGAATCAGTCCCTTTTAAATAATAAACACACAACAATGTGTTTATTTTGGGGTGATGTTACCTTCATATTCCTGAAGCAGCTTCATAACACACTTAAAAATAAAGTGATCAAAATATACCACGGGATGCCTAAGGATTGTACAATGAATTTTCACTTGTATTGAATTTACTGTAGCCCCTTAGAAACTTCCCAAAAAGGACATGGGTATTTCACAGTATGTGATGATATATAGACACTCAGTGAAGCATGATTTGGTAGTATAGTGCAAAATGGAAGCTAAAGCTTTGGAACTAGGATAAGTGAAAGGCAGGTTCAAATCCACCATCAGTGATCGAAGGTCAAAGTACTGGTTATTCTTTCTCAAGTGCAATGGGTTATTGTAGTAGAAGTGGCAGAACCTAAGGGACAGAGTCCAAACAGAAATCAGACCAGACTTTCTACATAGCCATAAATGGACTAAGTTCAACCCTTTTTGAATCTCATTGACGCGTATCCACTGCAAAACTGGTGCCAAATTAGTGCTAATCATTAGTTGACTATGTTCCCATTCAAAGGGAGTATTAATAGTAGTAATTGGAACTTCGCAGGTAGTTCTGATCTTTTGTGCCTGGAAATTATTGTGGGAAAACCTGGAAAGGAAGAGCTGGGTTTGTTGCTTTGTGTTCTTGGGAAAAGAGGAATATAAATCAGACAAATAAATAATTGTCCATAGAAGTACTCATGCTCTAACCACAGATAATCTTACAAGACAGCTGGAACTAGAAATTTCAATGATAAGCAAGATGGTTGTTAAGTGAGCTCCACTCAATTTTGCAACCTTTTTTTTTTTTTGCTTTTTGCTATGGTTAAACA